AAATGTCTTTTGATGTCTGTAAGGTGACGGAAGGTGAATTCAACCACATTTTTTTAAGAAATCATTCTCTTCAGCGTCATATTCATTACGAATCGGTCCTAGTCGCAATTTCGGCATCCAGTTTGTATGCTCCTGAATTTAAACACAAAGAAACCGCAGCGGTTTAGAATAATCATGGCTTCAGTCGAATTTTTTCCGTTTTCTTAACTAGGCACCTGCTTGTCATTCAACGTATGTTCATAATTTTGATTTCTCTAGATATTTAAATTTTCTTAAGTTTCTTTTAAACGTACCAAACTTAAGATTTAGCTCCTTAGAAAATCTGGACAAATTTTTTAAACATCTATATACATCTATATTCATTCCAAAAGAGAAAAGAAAGAAAACATAAATAAGTGATAAAAAAATAATCTAAAAATTTTTGTTCTCGTCGCTTGTTCCTTCCCTTCCCCACGCCATTCTCACGAAACAGATATATAATAACAAGAAAAAAAAAAAATATTGTACAAATAACACAAAGGAAAACGTCATCGCTTCACAAATGATAAAATGAATCTCACTATCGTTTTGGGTATCTAGAACAAAACATTTAAGAAAAAAAGGCAAAAACAAACCGCAAAAGTAAAAGAGAAAAATAGCATAACAAAAAAAAAACAGAAAAGAAAAACAGAATGCGCAACAATACAAAACAAAAAGAAAAAACGGCTATAAAATATTTAGTAAATGAAATGAAATACTTAAAAGTTTAACGAGCATAACAGACCGAACGAACGAACGAACGACCAACCAGCAATGTTGATAAAATACAAAGGCACAGATTTTATTTTATATTTGGTTGAGTGTATCGACAACACAACGAAATACTTACGTACGCACTTCACTTTTAGTCTGACTCACCTAAATGTATTATTTGCTGTCTCATGTACATCCATCCATCCATCCACAAACCACGTAACCAATTATATATATATATATATATATATATATATATATGCAGCAATCCATACATGCATACACACCCATACATATCCATACGGCGAAACGTACATAATCATTTGCAGATACCAGATACCAAAAGCTATATGAACATTTGTTTTTTTTGTTTTTTCACTTTATACTTGAGTAGGGAAAACTACAATAACACTGTATACAACCAAAATAAACAACAGAAGTTAAAAATACATGTAAAAGAAAACAAAAAGATTAAAAAATGAAAAATAAATTTAGTAAACACAAAGCGTCAGCTGTACATACATACATACCAACAGGGAATTCCCTCTCTCTTTATGTCTGTCTGTCTCTTTGTTTTTATCGTTCTGTCGCTCTCTCTACTTTATTTCTCGTACACTTTCGTTTGCTCTCCGACTCTCCCTTGATTGATAAATAAATAGTCAAAAGAACGTAGATAAAGAGAATTATTTCAAAATAATAAGAAAAACAGAAAGAGAAACAAACTTTGAGTCTTTGCTTGAACTTGTTTTTTTTATTCATAAAATTAGTCAGCAGCTAAAATGACTGAATAATTGATTTTATTTTACCTCCCTCCAACAACATTTGTTCAACTAAATGTGTAGACCTCTTATATGTTTGTTTTTGCTGTACGAAAAAAAAAAAATAAAAATATAAAAATAATTTTTTATGATTTTTCCAGGGAAAAGGAAAAAAAAACAAAAAAAATCATTCGACTAATTTTGTTGAAAAGCTGGTAAAAAGTTTCACTTTCTACGAACGTGTCGGATTAGAAACAAGATATAAGGACTCATACCGCTTTATATTTACGTGATTAAAATAGTTTTTTATACCCTTTAAAATTAATTTTAAAATTTAGTGAAACTGGAATGTAGACAATTGTCAAAAATATGCATTTAAGGGTTAAACTTTGATACTATAATCGTATCTTCACGAAAAAGATCAGCAAAGTCCTTCTTTTCTTTTATTGATAAATAGTAAATATTTATTCTGTTTTTGACAATCAGCGCATGCCATCTTCACTATCCGCCCAGATTCACTGCGTTTTTCTTTTCATATCATTCTTGAAAAATAATAAGCCTTGTAACTTTGAAAGATAAGTACAAAAGACGAGAAAGAAGCGAGGACATCTGCTTTTAAGATTAAGATAAGGACATTTTGACTGATCACATTTTGCAGGCAAACACCTGCTGTCACTACCGTAGAATTTCTTGGGCTTCAGAACAAACTGAATCAAACGATGTTCACGTGCTTCCGTCAGCTTTAAATAATTAAGAGCTCGCTGCGGAGATCGATACGGATGGGATTCGGATATGGGGCAATATTTGCGTTTTAGAGCGGATGCATCAAAACTGCCCCATTTGACCCATTAAACGTATGCGTGGTCTGGGATTATCAACTGCCCAATTCTGCGTACTCCGCCACAAATACGCGTTGGTGGTTCACCAAGTGTCCAGGCAGGATTGAGCAACTTACCATATACGATAGTTTCGCAATACCATCAAACATAAAGCAATATTACGAACTAAATTCTTCTATTGTCTTTTACACCTTCTATCTTCTTTACCACCAATCGTTCTTGATCGTCAAAATCACTAAAAGTTTTCGCCATGCTTTAAGCTTTGTCCTTAGCAATTTTTTTCAAAACAGTAAATAGTTAGTGAAATTGTGCAACCTCGCCAAAATCAACAAATCAATTTTTCTTAGCTGCGAATTTTGAACGCGGTCGAATTACATAATACAATAGCGACTTATCGGTTTAACGATAGTTTGTCTAATTTTTTTTTTTTAATATAATAAAAAAATGATTTTCTTCAAATTTTTAAGAATAGAAAGGAACAACATTTAAACAATATTTTATAAAATGTTCACTTAAAAATTTTGAAAGTACAGCATTTTAGCGATGTGTGCTATCTCCACTGTTTTTGTCGTGGTTAGGTCGCCAGCTGACGGATTTCGAAAGTGGTCAAATACTGAGGTACAAAAAACTTTTATGTAAAATAATCTTTTGAAGAGAGATTATAATCTCGATCAATCATAATAGTCCCATATTTTTAATTGTTCATTTTTGAATATAAAGTTGCAATTACCATAAAATAAGTAAATAATAAATTAAATAAAGATGAAAACGAATATTGAACCCAATAAACGTCACGGTAGACAAAATAATTCGTGATAGCTTTATTTGAAATCAAAAAATCGCATATTTTCTGCTAGTAGCTGAGTCGATAAGTAATTGAGGGCGACATTGAAGGAGAGATTGAAATTTTCGATAAAATCTGCTGCATTTATTGACATGTAACATAAGATGCGATCAAAGAGAAAAAATTTAATCAAAAAAAAAAAAAAAAAAAAAAAATAGTCGGTTGCTGGCTAATCTTACTCAGAAGAAGCTTGTAAAATTTCAATAAGATTAGCGTATTCATTCTTTAATAGTAAATTTTGGGGAAAGAAGCGATTATATGTTTGAAGCTATTTTAGAAATAGTAGTAACAGTAGGTAATTGTAGTCGTAGTATTAGTACGAGTAGTAGTAAGAGTTGTAGCAGTAGTAATATTAATAGTAGCAGTAATAGCGGTAATAGCGGCAGAAAGAGTAGAATTAATAGTCGTAGCAGAAGCAAGTAGGAATAGTATTTATTGATTTGTCGACTCAAAGAAGAAGAGGAAGTTAGAGTAGCAGCAGTAATAGATAACGTAGCAGTAAAGACTTCCAAAGACTTACTCGGCCCGAGTTCTGTTCTGAATGACTTGAAATTTAGAGAATATATTTCACGCATCTACTATTATATACAAAAAATTAAAAATCATCGTAAAAAAGAAATTCGAAAGAAGGGCTCCATTTTTACGGTAAAACCCATATTCACTCTAATATTATTAGCAAACATAGATTTTTTTTCTTTTCTTTTTTACGATATCCAAAGCTTTGCTTATTTTAATAGATCTATAAATGTCGAATTAAAATTCTTGTTCTTAGAAACATCTTTTAAATTTTGCGATATGTTAAAACACTCGATCAGACAGGCATTTAAAACAAACGGGGCAGAACTTAAAACGTAAAACTGAAATGAAAAACGTTGCAGCTGCAAATATTTTTTTCAGATTATGGTAAAAAAGGAAAAAAACAAAAAAAAATTGTCTGCGCAAAAAAAAAAAAAAACAACGCCAAACGCCAACCAGACCAGAAGAACGCACGGTAACGGCTTCCCCCAATTCAAACTATTAAAACCAGTTGAAAAGACTTGATCTGAACTGAAACAAGCCAAACCAACAACAGTAACAACAACATATTCACAAGACAAACGTAACAATAAAAACATTGGCGAACATGTGCAACATTTTTGTTAACGATTTTAACATAAAACCGGTTCTACGTCTATACATATATATGCGAATGTATTTTTCAGTTGATAGCAATTGTTGCAGGTTATTGTGATCATCTTATAAGGGGGACGAAAGGACGGGAAATAACAGAAAAAAGTATTAAAAAAAAAAAAAAAATCAACGACGCCAGGATGTTGCTGATTTAACCAACGTTGTTATTATTGGTATCTTTTTTATTGTTACTTGTATAAAGTTCACATTTCCGCTTTAAGGCTAAAGTACGTTTTCAGATCTAAACCATTAAAACCTGTTAGAAGATGAAATCATGACATTGTGTACAATGAATGATTAAAGCAGGTTTTCTTCCTTTATTTTTTATTTATTTTTTTCTCTTCCCCTTATTCTGCATATTCACCCATAAATCGCTGTCGCGTTTGGTTACGGAAAATTGTAAGTTCCTCTTTACCCTCATCTACAATCTGGTTTGCGAGCTTGAAAAGAAAGCCACATTTTGATAAATGCTCCACAAATCAAGTCAGTGACGAATTCTGAGAATTTTAGAAGAGAAAGACTTCCCAGCACAGAATCAATGTTGCCAGCAGTAAAATGAATAAAAAACAACAAATACAACAATCTATTCAGCAGGTGTTTTTTTCTCCCTTTGTTTTTTTTTCTTGTTCGATTCTTTCTTAATATTTTAAAGCTCTTTATATAAGAACAAAAAGAAATTATTAAACAAAATTATATTCGATCGGGATCCAAAAAGTACAATAACTATATATTTCACGCTCTATAATAAATAGGCAATGGGCGCGGTTGATTTTTTATATTTTCAAAATAAAAATTTTTCTCGTATGGGCATGTGGGCGTTGCAGCTATGTCCTTTACTTATTTTCGATACTTCCATTTTCGCTAACGGAAGAATGTTTATCACAGGTACTAGACAGGGACTGTATTATACAAATTTCTAGCTAGTAGTGCCCATCTTTTGTTTCTTTTAGTCCGAGCACTTATTTCATTATAATAAAAGCAAATAACAACATTACAGTGGACCACCGCCCATCATTAAGTATCCTGCAGCTTATCTTCGACTTCTCTTTGCCCTTGGGCTTACCATATTGGTAAACCACATTTCTATAACTAGTTTTAGTTTCTAATAATCTCTATATTTCCATGTGAACGCGTTCGGTTACTTAATTGCAATAGCATCCGGCTGAATTATACGAATACATTATGGCAACATAAGCATAATCAGATTTATTTCTTTTAAATTAAACATGAGGCAATTTTTAAATACAAATAATAAACAGTAAACAATAACAATTATTAATGATTGTAATTGTCTGCAAATGCCGCCAGTCTTACTTTCACCACCATATTCTATTCGCTGGATTGGTTTGTCGAATTCTACGAGTTACCACAATTCATAGAAAAGCATTTTCGTAGCCACCAATCCGAAGAAGCTTGCACACGACAAACGTTCACCTTTTGAAATTTCGCGGATTTTAGTAAGATCTCCTCTTTCCAAAAAGGGCTTATCAACGACGTGAAAAATGCCGTTGGCGCATTGAACATCCCTGTGAAGAATCTTTACCTCCAACGAATTATATGTTACACGGTAATCTTCCAAAAAAAAAAAGAAGAAAACATTACTTAAAATTTTACTAATAATGCAACGAAGGTTTCACTTCTTATTGTGTAGACGCTGATTATTCCCGTTCATTCATTTCACTTAAGAATTTCACAATTTTTTAGAATTTTTTTTTTTTTCGAAAAAAAATGGACGAAACCAACAACGATTACCATAGGCTGTTGTTGCAACATTAACATCGATACCCCTTAGGTTTCAAAGCTACTCATGCACTCTAATATCAACCGAAAACTTAAAAAAAAAAAAAAAAGAAAGAAAATATGGGCGATTTATGAAAATAATCGGAATTGATAATTAAAGAAACAATTTCGGTGCGGAAGAAACCTCGAAGAAACTGCATTCATATTTTCAGCCAAGCTATTTTGATTTATATTTAATGCCGCCACATGAGTAGTGTTATTTTATTTTTCAAGTATTGAAATTCACGAAAAATTGAATAAAACTCTTTTGCTCTTTCATGCTTACCATTGTCTTTTTAAATTTTCCATGCAAGAGAAAAAGAGAATAAAAAATTAAAAAAATTCAATTAATAAAAACTTTGCAAAAATTATGCAAACATGTAATCGTTACCGCCTATCCTGATAGCTGTAATGCGTATAAAACCCTTCAAAGCTGGTAAAATAATTGGTGCGCCTTTTACTCTACTCATTTGCACTAAATCATCCATAAAATATTCATCATTAACTACAAGATGACGTTCAAGAAGATAGCGAGACTAGTGCATAAAAAGCATTAAATATTAACAACACATAACAAGTTTATATAACAACAAAATTATACTTATTTTCTTACGTGATAAGTGAATTCTTTCATGAACAAATGCTTTTTAGCTGGAGGATATTGCTCTTCTATCATATCCCAGGCCGATTTGCTTGGAACAAAGTACGTGTAGAGTTTGTCACGTTTTTTTAATTCTTCATTGAAATCTGAATATTCGCCCAAAAATAAAGTATCTCTGTAAAGAGTGCATTTTTTCATATAAATGAAGTGCAGAGTGCAGAAGATAATCTATATTAATCGTAAGGCTGGCAGGAATGACGTCATATTATTTGCAAAGTCAATTTCGTCGGAAATGTTACAAGTCGTGCCCGCAATATGCAACTGGCGAAGCCAAAGCTAACGAACGAGCATGGCGTTGCCAGCACTTGCGGACAAGACTCCAACAAATATGCAGAAGCCCTTCGCAATATCCGCTAAGAAGTTGCAAAACTTATTAATAGCAATTATAACTGGGAATGATCACACATTGGACTGGATAATTTTTAAAGTTATCTAACGAATTTTTAAATACCGTTTAATTTATTTCACCCGTCCTATGAAAACACAACGCCACGATCTACGCAGATTCCGCATGTCGGCTTTGAAAACTAACTGCTAAGAGAGGGCACTCAGCGCGGAATTCTGTCTCAGCTTCATTTTTCCTCTTTATGATCGCGAGATGAAATTGAACGCGGTTCGCAATTACCAGCGTCTTCGGCTTCGCTTCTTGCAAATATGTTGGAAATTCGACGAGCGAACAGGATTTGATAAAGCGTAAAATACCGATAACCAGCCTCCTAACCATTTTGTCCTTCAAACCGTCTTCCCATCTTATGAACTCCCGATTTACTTCCATTCCCGTATATTCCACCACTATATCTAAAAACGCCATTTCATTCTTCAAACACGTTGCAACATTTGCCAAATATGTCAACAAAGTTTATCTGTCTCGGTTAAGTCAACAACTCTAATAAAACAACCAAGGGCGATTTTAATCAAGATCAAGCAGAGATCAATCCAGCGGGGGATTGTGCAAAAAAGAATCACTTCAAATATTGTTTGCACATTTCAAGACAAGTTTGAATATTTTGCGGTTAAATAAGTAAATTTAACTTAAAATATATCTCTCATACCTGTACCGATCATACTCGTCGTCCGCTAATTTATCATAAATTGTGCCTGCGTAATATCCTAAAAGATTATTTACTAGATGAACCATGCCATTCGTTTTTCGTATGTTAAACAATTCCACAGTAGCATTGTGACCACGGCACTCTATGACGACAATATCTCTGTACGGATCGTTTGGATTGGGAATGAAGAAAAATTTTAGTTCAATGTTATATGCTAGAGTAATCGATTTTAGCGAAAATTTCTTCTCCGGTAAAAATGCTTTTCTAATTCTCTTATAATCATATAAACCCTCCACTATGTGCCCAGTATAAATATCCTCCATTTTTTTGTCACTATATAGAAATGATGAAAAGAAAGTCAATCAATAGGAAAATTTTTAAAAACTGAGCTGGTCTTATGCACTTACCCATGTTTAAGAGTTCTCAAAAACGAACTCGAAAGAGCCTGGTTCGTTGGAATAAATACAGTTAAGTCTGATTCCCATCTGTCTAGCTTTTCCATCAATTTAGGATTAAGAGTCTCCCCAAGTTGAGCAAAGTGTTTCATGTTTATTATTCTTGGGCGCTAAGCGAAAATGAAATTTAGAATATTTTAAATAACCATGATTAGTTGGTAGCGTCAGATTTGTCGAACGTTCAACTCATTTTGAATTATTATTGAACTTTCCGACATCACTTCCCGCTCATTAAGGAACAACAAGTTTAGCAATACTTTTTCGAAAAGTTTTTCATTCAAATGAAAGGAGCGCTTGATTTTAGTTTTTCTTTTGACATTTGAACATAACCACATTTGTGCCCAACAACGATCACTAAAAAGCCAAATTTACTAAATGCGTTTTCGATGAACTCTTTGATGTGCAACTTCATCGGACACATGGAGATGAGACTTTATAAGCAGCCTTGCGCAGAAATTGATGCGTGTATTGAAAAATCTTCTTCCGGTTCTTTTCAATTCACTTAAGAGGCATATATACAGTCAGAGATCATTATCGCTATGTTAAGATCCTATCCTATACAACCGTAATTTCTTAGGCTTTTCTCATTTCGCTTCCACTTTGTTACGCATCCTTTCACTCTCATAAATCGAATTGTGTTTTCCGCAAACTTTAATTTACTTCATATTACGTTACGTTTCTCTCGCAAAAACAAAAGAGTCCGGTCTACTCGCAGCCTCAAAAATGTGTGGAACCCGCATTCCCTTCAATTTGCTTGCAATCTCCATTTTCTATGTTTACTTCTACTAATACCAGTTCAAGAAAATAGGAGAAAGAATTCTTCGCCATTAATTTTGGATCTTTCCGAATTCATCTTTATAAACTTTTTTTCGGAAAACGACTTGGATAAATCCCAATATGCCAAGACGCCGACGGATATACTAGACATGTCGTTTTTGCGCAGACAAATCTTAAGAGATGACATTACTCCCGTCGCTCCTATCGCATCCACGATCCAAAATCGTGAATCCAAATCAAGCGCAAATCTAATCTAATGTGCAATATCAGATTTTTATAGGGAGAACAATAATTATTGGTTCGCCCAAAATTAAGAAAAATCCAAACACAAAAAACAACATTAAAACGTTTTATATTCTGCGCAATTTTTGCATTTATGCCTGATCTTATATCAGCGAAAAAGACATCTTTTTCTCGCTCTCTGTCACTTTCGCTTTAATTAGGAGGTAGATCACTTTCTTGGGATTTTTAATTTTTAAAATATAACAACATCGGAGCTCACCGTTAGAACATCCACTATGGTTTCATTAATTCGGCACATCAAATTATCAACTATTTGTACGACACCATTTCTTACAGGTACGTCCCCTTTTTTAATCTCATAAATAGATAGACCGGTCAAATTGCTAGTAAACCGATGGGGAACTAATACTTCAGATTTTGCATAGACTATGAATGGTGAATATGCAAAAATCAATATTGGTAATCTTGCCTGGCGGATTAAGTACATTTTAAAACTTTACCATAACCGCTTATCTGCTCGTATTCAAAACCTAGGACGCATAAAAAACTTGTTACATTGATATCAATAACGCTGTCTGCTCCTGCTCCTGTTGGTGTTGCTGGCGATGACGCTGCTGGCGCTGGCGGTGTTGACGCTGGCGGTTCTGGCGCTGGCGGTGCTGGCTCTGGTGGTAGTCGATCACCACTGGCCTCATTTTCGTTTTCTTGGGCCATAGCATCACGTTTATCTACATTCACATATTCTGCAATCTGCCTTTTTGCTCTGAGTTTTAAGTCCCCTTCCTCGACGCGGTAGATGCGATACTGCAACCGCCAATTGTCGTCTTCAGGCCACCTACATTCATGTACCGTATATCTATTCATAGCGTGAGGCATCAATATACTACCATCAACTGTTTGAACCCTCACTATTTCGTCGGTCACTTTCTCTTTGGACTTAATCTAAAAAAACAAAAAGTCATTTTGAATTTGAATTGAAATTTATTAAGCGATTGTATAATAATTAAAAGTGTTGAATGGATATTGTCGTTCTTACGAAAATATTTCTTTATGCTTTTCGCCATAGTGAAATATAAACAGCTTCGAGCAAGCCGACACTACCCTAGCAGACGAAACCTTGCGCGCAGGAAGCGTTTATAGGGCCGATAACTCATGACGAAACGTGAATTGGATGAGCTTATCCAGGTCATTCAGATTGATAGCCAAAAGGAAATATGAAAACAAAAGATACTATGCGAATGGGGTTGATAAGGCGATTTTTTTCAGGCCCTCGAACATATATCAAAAAAGCAAGCATTAAGTAACTTTAGTAAAGAAAAATGAAACACTTAACCTTAAACTTTTTATTCGCGCAATTTTATCTTCCGATATCTTGACGGATTTTTCAAAATTATTCATAAAAATCGTAGAGCTGAATTTAATTCCATCCCTTAGCTAGTTAAAAGCGTGCTTACGGAGCTTGCGCTCAAAACATTTTGACACATAAAAGCGGCAAAAGAACCAAAAGTACAAACGGACAAGTAAAAGAAACAAGCTATATTAGGGTTATTATCTTATGCGGCCGTTACTGCGCGTGCCACAATATGCAGTTCAACAGGCTGCCGATTTACCCTTTCGACTGATGAAATTAATATACAGCTAAATAAATCACATTTCGTTAGTTGTTTTATATTTACGTTTCTTGACTCAACCGCAAAGAATGTATTTAGACCCGGCTTTGCAAAATCTTTCTTAAAGAAATGATTGTAGAGTTGCCTGTTCGCAAGATAAAAACAAAAAAAGTTTTATATAATTTACAGGTAAGGAAAAATTGTACCAACCTCCTTTTTCCTATATTCGTGGCGCCAAGATTATACTCCTGGCTGAAAATCAAAAGTCGATAAGCATTTACGTCTGGGGTGAGCAAAATTTTTATATCATTGTATATCCCGGGGACGCCGCTAAATATCTCTTCCTTGAAGCCCGCCCTTACCTTCATTTCTAGGGGATGCAGTACACGAGTTATATAAAACAATGTCTGCAAAAAAATTCAATTTGAATGGATTAACTGTAAAATAAGGTCGACATCAATTTGCTTAATTACGGTCTCACTTCAAAGATAGTTTAATGATATCATATATGGATAGCATTTGTGATAGAGAGTATTTTAGGTTTGTGGAAAAGTACGCAACAGCCAATCGAAATCGTTCTCTAAGTCTGCGTTCGCGTTTGTTTATCTCTGAAATCCGTCCTTACATTGAGACGGATAAACTTTAGCGTGAAAATAAGTTTAAGTGGCCCGTTTTGGAGAACACCCGTATGTTTCGTATGCATTATATATGGAGTAAGTGGTACGGCTTGCATGCATTAAATGGCTGTTGACCACGTCATCAATTTCGAACAAGGCAAAATTCACGCTATCAATAGTCGCATTAGCAAATGCCGTCGAACTACTTGAATATTTACTAAAAATTAATGTTTCCGTACGCACCTGGGGTACTCGATTTCCTTGTACATAAACTTCAGTGTATTTTGTCAAAGACAGCTGAATCTCAGCGGTATTAACAAAAATTTGTTTAATTTCGGCATCACCTTCATCTAGAATTTCGGTGATATATAAGTTAACACCACCTGGATACTGTGAAACAATAGAACTCGGAAGAGTTTGATTGGTATATGCATAATTAGCTGGGGACAGATAATTGATTTTCGGTAAAGCCGATCACCTTTACATTGAAGAACTTAAAAGAGTCATACTTATATGATAGAGAAGCTCAAAATGAGTGCCTGCTTTTCTTATTTCGTCATCGGGTGGCACAAATATTGTAAGCTGTTGTGTGTTGATATAATCTTTAATTCCAGACGGGTCGTCCTCGTTTATGTACTCTATGAACTGGAAATGAAAGAAATATTAGCAAATAAATAAAAAGAGAAAAAAGAAGAAGAAGAAAATTATGGTCCCAATGTAATATACGTTCGGTAATCGACTAACGTCAGCATTCATTTTGAGACATTCATCAAATAAGTCAAAATAGAATTCAAATCGAAGAACCATTCGCCACAAAATCTATATATATATATATACAAAACGTGAAGCAATTGATAAATCGATTTCAACAACGACAATTATTTGACTGAGAAGTAAGCAAACTAGTAAGTAAGCAAGAATTCTTAGTACACATCATTCTTCTTTCTTGCTTCAAATTGGGTTTTTTTTGAAAAACACAAAATTGAAGAAAACGAACTCAATGTTTCGTTATTTCTCATAATTAAACGCAATTGGTTTCAGATAGAAACTGATAATAATAGAGCATATAATTGTTAAGGTCAAGGGTAAGCTGTTCTCCACCTACAAGTCTTGCTCGTTATCAACGTGCGTGCACGTAACTGTTTATTAAGAAAAAAAAAAATAAAAAAAGTAAACCACGAGCGAAACAGTAAAAAAAAAAGTAAACCACGAGCAAAACAGTTCCCCTTTCCGGGGCCGCAAAATAATCAAACTTGTCTAAAATGAGTCTTATCGAAGTATAAAATTTCTGGCTGGCAGTTAAAATGTCTCTTTCATAGCGGCAAACTATCACTATTATTATTATTATTAAAGTACAGTTGTCCACGCACAAGTTTATCTGTTAATTCGCTCATATAAAATGCGAGAGTAGTGTGCTGACAATTGAGAGACGTATTAATTTGCTGCGTTTAAATTGCATTGGTAAATTAGTTCTCGACTAAAAATTTCTACAATTTGAAAGCCCCGAATATCTTGGTCGCTGTTGCTCGCTTTGAAAAACTCTCAATTTATGAAAGAGGAAAGCAAAATAGATTGCACGATTGCAGCGTGTAGGCAGGCGATTCGACTATTTCGGAGGCTTCACCAGAAATACGGAAGTATAAAAAGCTATTTCATTTAGTAGCTTCCAAGGATTCGAACAGCTTTCATTTGAAGAATTAACCACGAACCGGTATTTCGAAGACATGTTTGCTTGCTCCCTTGCAATCAATCCGAAATTTGGGATGGTTCAGCAGTCTCTTGTTTTTAAAAAAATTATTTGACGCATACATGCAGTTCTTCCAATTTAGCTTAAAAATTAATTACGCATTTGATAGCGATTGCGTCACATATTTGATCATTTTTGTAGGCGCATTTGCATTTCATTTCGCTTAGCACTACAGGTTCCGTCCTTGCATTGCGTATGAAAAATTCTTCCGCACAGTTTGCGTACTTAATAATTTAAAGGAATTTTCGCCTATAAAGCGATCAAACCTGCATATCCGCGGCATACCTACCAGCGCATTTTCTTCGTAGTCAAGCAAATCAAACACACTGCATATGGATCGTTTTATCCCAAATACAGAAAGTAATATAAGTAGACGTCCTGGGAAAAATAATTTCATATTCTTGGTGCTTTTATACATTTTTGGCATTCTATCGTTGTATTTGGAATCTCTGTCCCACGATTTGAAGAAAATTTGAAAGCGTCTTTCTATTCACCAGTTTTTTGCTTTAAATTCTTGATCTAATTTTCGTTCAGAAAATTTTCCTTTTTTCTGTCCGTAAAATTAAAATGTGATGTAAAAAGCAAAACATTTAATGAAGAAAAAAACATATTCCTCTTTTCAATTCAAAATATTTCTCTAAATTGTAACCATAGTTCCTTTAATTACCTGATGATATCACTCTTACCCCGCGGTAAGTGTAAAGTAAATCGATCGGAAGAAAAGAGCTCTTACGCTCGATGTGTCGCACGTTACTGAATGAATATTCTTTGAAATATTCGGAATTATAAAAAATTGAAAGCAATTAATGATATGAATAAGCTATTAGAAGGCTTTCGAATTTCCTTCAAATGTTGTGCAGTATTTTCATTGCCTCAATACGTTGAATTATATAAAATTAGAAGAGTAGATTCTACCTAAAATGTAGAATGTCACTAAACGTGGGATTTTAAAAAATTCGAATAAGAAAAACGAATAAATCGACAAATTACGACAGACAGTTGAATAATATAATTTAGCATTAAATTAGTTCAAATTCTGAAACAATCTCGCTAAAGAACTGAAAGACATAGCTCACGACACATAAAGAACGTTAGTCTGAAATTGAGCATAAACACTTGTCAGAGTCGTTTGCATGCATAAGGTAAAGATGGTACTGTTCACAGAGGCCCATTTACGATCCTCGATACATAAAGTAAGTTCAATTGCTATGGATTCTGGGCCCGCGAGTAACGACGAATAAAAACTTGAAGCTAAACCTGTCGATAATGTATGCGGTTTCCTTACTAACGAATGAAAAGTCTTTCGATCGCCAAATTGTTGTCGATCAACATATACAAATTACGACCGAGTTTAATCGATATCGAGAATCATTCATAATGGACTATAGCAGATAAAACTACAAAGTTCGAACGTATATTCCATGGGAAACGCCGTATTGCCTGCACAAAAATAGAAAATATTGGCCACATCTACTCGAGTGCGTCATAATTTACTTTGTTTTTTTTTTTTTCAAAACTTTTACACATAACGTATAGAAGCATGTGTCAAAAACCAAATGAAGGAATGCTCCTAAGCACGTCTGCCGATACGTCCGTCTGCGAAACAGTGTAATATATGCGCTAAACAATTCCCCGTTCGCAAAAATGAATTTATCGACTACAATCATGTAAAATAATTTGGAAATGCCACAAAACTTTCAAAGAACACACCTACAACGCCTACATCTGTATATAACAATATTCTGTGAACACATCAGGTTACCAATTTTTTGGCTTTTTACTTACAAAATACAACGCATACACTATATAAAATTGCACTTTCATTCTGAAAATAGAAAAATCAGCCGTGCCCACCCAATATTTAATTCGTTTCTTTTTTTTCTAGAATCATGGCGATATGTATAAAAGATTCGGTCACGACTGAATATAATTTTTTTACTCGTTAGTTTTTAAATTGTCAAGCGGGCGAGGCCAACGCGTCACATACCCTGCACCACTTCCCTTACAACACTCCTTTATTCATTTTCATGATAATGTACCGAAAATTAGAAATTTTTCCTTGTAAAAGCATACTTTTCACGAAAGCGAGCATATTGGAGGATAGCCATAACGTTAACCGATGGTATCCAAATTTAACAGATTCAATTTACTGATCAACGATTTGATTATTTCTCACGTGTTCCCGTCATAAAAAATTGCAAATTGCACTTGTTCGCCATATAAGGGCTTGAGTTTCATGAGAACTCATACATGTGATCCAAAGTTTCTACAATTCATTCTTTTGCCAAATTACTAACAAATACTACATTTTTTTTATAAAAGGCTTAGTATTCATGAGAACACTTCTTGGAATGAGATCAAGTACATAGCCATATGTAGCTCATATTTGATGTTCTGTACTATTACCGGAAAATTTTCATCATAAAGTGCTAACAATTCGACTTTTTTGACATATAAAGGTTTATATTTCATGAAAATCCTTACCCTACAGCCCCCGGGGGACAGGGTGTATTAACTTTGTGCGGATGTATGTACCACCCAGAAAGACTTGAAATGGACGCACTTTTAATTATACCCATTGATTGTTTTCTGAAGGGATATAGGTTTGTCCGTCCGTCTCGGCCTGTCTATGTATTTTTGTGCTCAACCTACATTTCACAATTTTTGGGATATTTTAACGAACTTCGGTATACTAAAGCGATTTATCCGAAAGCCGAATGCTATTGAAAATAGTTCGAATCGGACTTCTTTTTTATGGCGACGAGCACCAAATTGGGATTTGTTAGCGAACGCCACAGGAAAATAATAAGATCGTTGACAAGAAACTTAATTTTGTTATATTTGGACCAGGTTAGTTGATGTTTTGAGTACCTTCCAATGTTTTAAGAAAATTATGCATTTGTATAAAAATAATGTATAATTTTTATTGAATTATTAAGCAAATGAATTAAATGATGTATAGGCTAAATGATACACAATGTCTAATAGTCGGCCTTGCCCGACTATAAGATTCTTACTTGTTATTTATGCAAATTCAATTTTTATTATCAATTCACTTTTATATAATTTTTATTTATTATCTTCTTTTGTTTATCGTATTTTATACATTTACTTATTATAATCTTTCCATCTGCAGTCATCTTATGCTTAAATTTAAATTAGTTGTATTTCAAGGATTGATGCCGCCGTAAAAAACAGGGTTGTCCTTGATACCTTGATTCATTGGTATAGAAAGAAAGCAAATGAAATAATGATATTTATCGAGATTTTTAGGCGTATCTTTAAGTACCAAAAAAGAAAAAAGTAAGAAACGAAAATGCTACAATATAAGAAAGTCCGGACCCGTTCTTAAGGCACACTATCAACTTAAGAGATTGTGCGGTCCGCAATGTCACTGGTGCGAATCATTTAATCTGCATGCCTAGCTAGCTAGCAAAACAAGCAATGCAATTTTTAAATAAAAATATCTGAGAACATTGTAGTCGGAAAAGAAGGTATTCGATACCTTTTAGATACATCTAGTACCACCCAATACATTATCCCGCGTACTCAAGGAATTTTTATATACGGTGGTATCCAAAAAGTGGACCTTCTTAATATAAATGTCGTAAAGTTGTCTTCTATGCCAATTTCCTCTTGTAAAGTAGTTTTTCCCATGAATATTATACCTGTTTACTATATAAAGAACCAGCTCTCGTAGAAACAATTATATGAGAGAGAGTTCGCGAAAATTACGCGAACCGAACTAAATTTTTTCATACCAACTTAGAATCGTCCAAATACTATTACAGAGCGATTTGTGTCGAGAAATTTTGTATATCACAATTTTTTTCATATAGCGACTTTTCAAAATAAGACGTTACATCGAAAGTGGTCGAAAAGGTGGACCGATCCACCCTAATTTCAATAGCGTCCTTCTTCCTTTACATGCGCAGACGGATAAACGAGCTTAGATCGGTACAAAAAAAAGGCGAATTTATTTGCGCAGTTATGCTTTTTTGGCCATTTAAAGCTTTTCTGCATCCGCAATTATCTTTTTGTGTGCTATTTGACTAGACAATTAACAAACCAAAAATTGATTTTTTATAAAACTAAAAAAAACATTAAGAACTTTTTTACTGGCCTTACCACCAAAAGGTAAGTCGTTTCTTTGAGCATACATTATGCTTGATGCATCATTGCTAAATAGATCGGCGCAATTAGTTAGGTAAAGATTTATGGTAAATAAATAATGATGTATGAATCAGAGTAATTCTATAAAACTTCGCTTGCGAATGAGAATATGTTCAGTCTTTCTGAACAGGAAAACCAGAAATTTGTCGAAAACTACGTTAATTGAGATCCTCTTCCATTAAGCTTAATTGCATTTGGCGCGCGCCTTCGGTTCAGGTCTCTTTGATTTTCAAGTCCATACGAGTATAAACACTATATAGGAAAAAAAAAGCCCCAAAAAAAAAAAAGCCCCAAAAAAAAAAAAAGAAAAAAAAATGAAAATACTAACGGCATGTTTTAGAAGTTGAAGACACCGACCGATATTAATGAAGAATTCCTATCTAAGCTGTTAAAGCGCGCTTTCACTTTTATTACTTTGTCCTCGAGCGTTAAACTATAGTTCGAATTTGAAACAATTTCTCATCTTCAGACTTAAATTAACGCATTCTTTTCAACTCAGTTAAGGAGTTAAGCAGTTTTTATAAACTATTCTTAGCGTGACTTTATTCTCTTATCTTAATCAAAACTTGAACCGTTAATCACAAACTATAAATACGTTAACTAAAGTTTTTTACCCTCTTTAGTTTGCTGGGCAATATCCATATAAACGTGACCTCAAACAGCAAGAGAAATGTATAAATATACGTACATAGTTTTTTTTAATTTTTTTATTTTTTTGCTACTTTTCAAACAAGCAACAAGTGACGTATGATTTGGTTTGTATACGAAAACTACGCAATTCTGTTTCTTGTCTTTTTTTAATAAACATTCATATCTAAAAACGAAAATCTATACATGCTTATATGTATACATGTACAGAAGTATGCATATGTAAACGTTTACAAAACCCACAAATATAATGCTTACGTAATATATCAAAACGTATACACATTGCCATGAGTTCTTTATAATACTTTACAGTCATGCATTTAAATGAAAACACACACACACACACACACACACACACACACACACACACATTCACCAGGCATATTTATACGCATATATATCCAGGCATATATAAATCATATATATATATATATTTATCTTCACTTTTGCGCGTTTTGTTATTAAATAAAATTTTTTAAAACAAATGAGAAAGTATTTATACACTTTAGGGAGCATTTCGGATACTCAGTTCCAGTAGCCATCGGCCAGTAGGTTTGGCCATAAAATATTTGGCTTATAATCGATTACATTAGTTAATTAAAAATATCCCAAAAATCTATTTAAAGTAGTTTCTATAATCAAGAATATATCGATCGGCT